CTCGCCCAGCTGTGCGCTGGGGCGGCGCTCTAACCTCTCGCCCCTCGCCGCCATGCGTGCGGACGGTGGCAAGGCCGAATCGTTCTTGGTTGGCACGAGCGCCGATTTGCCAGCCAGCAACACGCCGGGCGAGGCGCCGGCCATGCGCTGGTCCGCACGCACCAGCATGCGGCTCACGCGCTCGCGCTGGTCCGACGTCATTGTATGCATCGACCTCAGCGCGATATCGCGCAGAATCCGATGGGCCCTCCTGAACAGGCGCGAAAAGTAGCGGTCGTCAAAGGCGGCAAAGATGCGCAGCGTCGATTCCACCAGATCGTTGTCCTCGGCCAGCCGTTCGGCGTCGCGACACTCGTGCCACACCGTGATCATGAACGTCGCCGTGCTCATGAAGGCTTGCTGGAAGATGAAGACGAGGTCGCTCATGTGGTCGCCCTCGTGCAGCGCGATCACGACGCGCAGGCACTCGCGCGCGTGGAAGACGCACTGCGGATGCAGCATCTTGCGCAACGCACTGTGCTCCAGGAACGGCTTGAGGATGTACAGCCGGATGTCGTGCGTGCCACACTGAACCAAGCCCGCCTGCAGCCGGAAGGGGCTCTCGATCGTACGTAGATGCGCCGGCGTTTCCGCCACCCATTCCTCGAGCCGCTTCGAGAGGATCACCATATCCTTGTACTCGGGCACCGAGCGCTGCTTGCTCGGCTGCATCTTCTTGCCAGCCTCGGCCCGCCAGCGTGGCGAATACAGAACGTGGACTACATCTTGCACAATCACGTTCAGCTTGATCATGTGGATGAAGCCGCTCATCACCATCGGCTTCTCCCCCCCACCACGCGTCGGCGGAGTGGGGATCGCACCACCCGATTCGTACTGGAAGAGCGTCTCGTCGTCGATCTCGAGCGGCAGCTTGACGTCGCAGTCCGAAAGCTTGAGTGCAAGCGGTCGGCCCATGTTGATGGAAAAGATGCAGTCGAGGATAAAGGCGCCCCAGAACACGCGTCGTCTGAGCTCCTGCTCGTACGGCGAAAAGCCGCGGTAGGCCTTCTCCTGATGCAACCCGATATCCTGCAGCGCGCGAATCGCCACGCCAAGCACGGTCCAGCTCGCGCCGGGCCCGATGGCGCCATGCATGAAGGTGGCGGTGATGATCATCACCTGGACGTTGATCAGGCTCGCGGCGTACACCTGGTGGTACAGCCTGCTGGCGGCGGCAAAGTGGTCGCCCGCCGTAT